TTTTTCTGCATTATTTTTCTATTGGCTCTAATATCATCTATGTACATTTTTAAATAATACTACAAATTTGCTGATTGCTTTGACTTGAGAATAATGAAAAAGATTTGGAATGAATTTCCCTCTTTTAGGATCTCATATTTATAACAACTTTAGATACCTAAGATACAATGTATGAGAGAGAAGAGAATCTGAAAAGATATATCTAGGAACTAGGTGCAGCACAAATCACACATCAACTTTACAATAAGTTATATTTATTCTAACATTTTGGTTATGTAAAGAATTAAAATATTGTGGTATAGCAATGCTTGCTCATTGATGTAACATCGTGAGGTGAGTGTATCTTCTACCCAAGGCTGTCTCCTACTTGATTTTCCTTTCTTGGGGACAAACTCAATGTAACAGAGATCCTTTGTTTTCTCAGCCCACTTGATTTGGTGGGGGAGGGGGGATTGAGTTCATCTTCTGTTAGACAATGTTACTGGTTTTTTATTTTGTTTCTGTTTGAGGCAAATATTATAGTTTGTTTTCTTTGTGGTTATTATAACTGATTTAATTATATAGTTTTAACTGACTTGTCCTGTTACTGAGCTCTGTATATATAGTTTCCTGTAAGCAGAGTTTCAATATCTTTTTTGTGTCTTTGATCTTTACATAATAAAATCAATATATCCGAGCTTTGTATGGTGAGTTAGATATAAAGTTTGGAGATTCAATTGTGAATTCATTTTCCAAGTTATACCTTTGGTATACAGGGTCTGATAAGCGGGTCTGCTGAATTGAGGGAGCAGGCTGCTCTGGGACTTGGCGAATTGATAGAAGTTACCAGTGAACAATCACTCAAGGAGTTTGTCATCCCAATAACAGGGTATTTAATAAAAAATTGTATGGATTGTTTTTATAAATGTTCATATTTTAGTATGAGCAGCTGTATGTATGAATCAAGTAAAATGGCGTCATCTTATAATTTAGTATTTAGTGAATGTTCTGGTCTCTTATTTGAATACACTAACTGAACCAATTCATTGGTTAGTGCCTTAATGTTTCCCTCTTTATAATTTTTATATCCATGTCCTGACTCAAAATTGTTTTGATCGACTTTTTCCCTTTTAAGAAAATTTCAATAAGTTCAGCTAGTCTCATTTGTTAAATATATACAATTATTATGTCTTTCCCTTGCAACTGGAGTTATTGATTTGATTCTTGAGTCCTTGACTGGGTGTTAAAGCTAATTTGACAAATAGGTTATTTAGGGCCGTTTTGACCAGTAAGTTTATTTAGAGCTTGATCTTACTCCTCTCATGGTTTTATTTGTACATATTTTCTTCTTAAGACTTTAGGTGAGGTTTGCATTTGATTGTCCATGGGTCATACCCAACTGAATGCTATATTTTATCATTTATTATTTTGGGGACCTATATTTTATATATCTTGACTTTGCCAATCTTGTTTGGNATCAACTTTACAATAAGTTATATTTATTCTAACATTTTGGTTATGTAAAGAATTAAAATATTGTGGTATAGCAATGCTTGCTCATTGATGTAACATTGTGAGGTGAGTGTATCTTCTACCCAAGGCTTTGTCTCCTACATGATTTTCCTTTCTTGGGGACGAACTCAATGTAACAGAGATCCTTCATTTTCTCAGCCCCCTTGATTTTGTGGGGGAGGGGGGATTGAGTTCATCTTCTGTTAGACAATGTTATTGGTTTTTTATTTTGTTACAAATGTTTGTTTCCATTTTGATTTAGTGTAACTGTTTGAGGCAAATATTATAGTTTGTTTTCTTTGTGGTTATTATAACTGATTTAATTATATAGTTTTAACTGACTTGTCCTGTAACTGAGCTCTGTATATATAGTTTTCTGTAAGCAGAGTTTCAATATCTTTTTTGTGTCTTTGATCTTTACATAATAAAATTAATATATATCCGAGCTTTGTATCGTGAGTTAGATATAAAGTTTGGAGATTCAATTGTGAATTCATTTTCCAAGTTATACCTTTGGTAGGGTCTGATAAGCGGGTCTGCTGAATTGAGGGAGCAGGCTGCTCTGGGACTTGGCGAATTGATAGAAGTTACCAGTGAACAATCACTCAAAGAGTTTGTCATCCCAATAACAGGGTATTTAATTAAAAATTGTATGAATTGTTTTTATAAATGTTCATATTTTAGTATGACCAGCTGTATGTATGAATCAAGTAAAATGGCGTCATGTTATAATTTAGTATTTAGTGAATGTTCTGGTCTCTTATTTGAATACACTAACTGAACCAATTCATTGGTTAGTGGCATAATGTTTCCCTCTTTATAATTTTTATATCCATGTGTTGACTCAAAATTGTTTTGATTGACTTTTTCCCTTTTAAGAAAATTTCAATAAGTTCAGCTAGTCTCATTTATTAAAGATATACAATTATTATGTCTTTCCCTTGCAACTGGAGTTATTGATTTGATTCTTGAGTCCTTGACTGGGTGTTAAAGCTAATTTGACAAATAGGGTATTTAGGGCCGTTTTGACCAGTAAGTTTATTTAGAGCTTGATCTTACTCCTCTCATGGTTTTATGTTTACATATTTTCTTCTTAAGACTTTAGGTGAGGTTGGCATTTGATTGTCCATGGATCATACCCAAATGAATGCTATATTTTATCATTTATTATTTTGGGGACCTATATTTTATATATCTTGACTTTGCCAATCTTGTTTGTCGTAGGCCTCTTATCCGAATTATAGGTGATCGATTCCCATGGCAAGTGAAGAGTGCCATCTTGTCTACTCTAACATCGATGATAAAAAAGGGAGGAATCTCCCTGAAGCCTTTTCTTCCTCAGCTGCAAACAACATTTGTCAAGTGTCTACAGGATTCTACAAGGTTTGTTTGAGATATTAATATATTATAAAATCATCCCTCCCCTCCCAAATTTAATGTGTTCACCCCCTCAGTTAGCACCTTTTGTATGTTTGATGTTGTGATTTGAAAATGTGTTAATCACCTTTCAGCATCACATAATATATTAATATCTCAAATCATTCAATTAAGTGTTTGCAGGATTTGTCACATGACTTGCTAACTGACATCTAAGTACTTTTTGGGGGAAATATCAAATGGGTGGAACGTAGAAAAAATTTAGTAACTAAACTTCGACCTTCAGTTATGCCATAATTAAAGAGGAGAACCTGACGTAAAGGAATTACTAAGTTTGTTAATGCCTAATTTATGTTCTCTTTTATTAACATAGTTTGTTATGAAAGAAGATGAAGATACATAATGAGATATTCAAAATCCTCATGAGAAGAAATGTTGCAGTAAAAATGAAAAGGAAAAAAATGGACAACAGATACTTATTTTGACTGTTCTTAAAGCAGGGGAAGATTGGCCAGCATACATGTGACCAAAGCTCATTCTTAGTTGACTATCCATCCTCAAAGGATGAATACAACAGTTTTTGTGTATTGGTGGTGAGTTGATGGTATTGTGCAAAACTCTAGCATGCAAGGCTGTTGCCTGCTCCATTTTTCCTTGAATGAATACTACCCTACCCTTTGTCCCTTTCATCTTCACTTCCATTCTTACCATCTAATTTTTCACTTCTTAAAAGACGAGATTTGGCACACTGGACCATTTTTTTTACAAACTCAAACATAAAAGGAGAGAAAACTCCTCCATAGATTTCCCCTTACCGCTGAGGCTCCACACTATTTTCTCTATGCTGTAACCTTGAATCACACTCCATGGGAAACATTTTTATTAAGATGAACGACTGCCCTTCGAATCTGAGTTACTTTTCTAATTACCTTTTACTAAAATGTTGATCTTTGGGAGTAGTCTCTTAACATAATCTCATCTTTCTTTTATTATGCGTGCTTATTAATATGCATGTGACTATGGCCTTGAATGCCACTCCCTTGGTAACATCTATCTTGAACTGAACCAATGCCCTTCCAACCTGTTACTTTTTTACTTAACTTGGAATGAAATGTTGATATTTGGGATTCTCCTAAATAAATTTCATCTATATTTTATTATTCGTGTTTATTAACATGCATGTGACTGCAGAACTGTTCGATCTAGTGCTGCGTTGGCACTTGGGAAGCTTAGCGGACTCAGTACCAGGGTTGACCCTTTAGTTAGTGATTTGCTGTCCAGTTTGCAGGTGATTTTATTTCTGCTATTCTTACTTAATCTGATGGAATACTTGATAATATGTTAGTATTGCTGATGTCACTTATTTAATACAAAACTGTGGCAATTTGATTATTTAGGGATCTGATGGCGGAGCACGGGAAGCTATTCTGACTGCATTAAAGGGTGTCTTGAAGCATGCTGGGAAAAATGTCAGCTTGGCTGTTAGAACTCGTTTTTACAATGTTCTCAAGGATTTAATTCATCATGATGATGATCAAGTTCGGATATTTGCTTCTAGCATATTGGGAATCTTGGCACAGGTGTGTAGACTATTGATTGGATTTGTATTCACTGATGTGTTTGTATTTCTCTGTGATTGGATTTGAATGACTATAATATGTTCCTCTTCTATTTTGTTCAGATTGAAAGAAAAAAGTAAATTAAATTGTCATTTTTCTATCGCTAAATTATGTTATTATTACTTTTGCTGTCATTTCTGAGATTTAACTGAGTGCTTAATTCTATTTCATCG